ACTAAACGACAGACTTGAGGTTAGGTCACTTTAATTTCGATTTCCAGGTCGGGTCGTCGAGTGGCACGGGAGGGCAAGAACCAAACCCTAGTCGGGTGAGCTCGGGTGGGGATAGTGATTTTGGTACCCTCGCTATTTCAAGCATTTCGGGGTGAGCTCGGGTGAGGTCGCTATAATTTAGCCAGTACTACTACTACTACTACTACTACTACTACTACTACTACTGACTTCCCGCTTGTGCACAGAGTGCAGCACGCTTGTTTTCACTAACGCGCTACGAGACAACTAGTAGTCTGGAACCGCTACTGCTACTGCGATCGCTACCGCTACCGCGGCTGCTACCGCTACTTCTACGACTATTTCTGCTCCTCCTCCTCCTCCGCCTGCTGCTGTTGCTGATGCCGATGCTGATGCTGCTGCTGATGCTGCTACTGCTACTGCTACTGCTCTGCCAGTGCTGCTGCAGCCACTGCCACCGCTACTACTACCACCACCAACAACACCACGACGACGAGGACGACGATGAGGAAAACAACAAGGACGAGCACAACGAGGACGACGACTGCTACTGTTACTTTCTGCATGTAGATGTTTTGTTGTAGAACCTTAGGAAGTAGAAAGAAACGGTATCGCCTTAACGTAGAGGCTCAGATCTTACCCAAGACGCTGCCCGACAGCTGAGGCCGGAGCGTGCGTGTACGGTCGATTCATCGGCGGCAGAAGCTCCCACCTGAAGCTTTCAGTTTAGGCTTCTGGTTCCAGCGATCATCCAGGTCAGAGGATATTAGGCGATGGCTTTCTTCGTTGGTTGAGGTGTTCATACCTGACTTCACGCTTGCTATCTGAACAGCCAATGACACAAACGACAGGCAGCCGACAGAATGTCAACGCCAGGCTTTCTAGCGTTCTATGTCACAGTGAGCTTAGAACCGATTGGTTTCCTAGAGACTGAGTCTGAGTATAGCGAGAAATACATGCAAACGGCCGCCCAAGCAAAGGCCATCCTGGGAGGTGCAGGCGCGAACGCGCGATCCCAGGATCCCTTTCTCGATCTTCCCCCATTACTCGTAGCTGTTTGGAGCCCTCCAGAGTGGCTGCATGTGCCTCTGGCGCTAGGGGCTGCAGAATATCTTTGGGCTTTTTAGGGTCCTTCGATTCTCTTGTCTCCGCCGGGTGGCTGATTCAAGACGGGATCGAAGCATTCCGGACAATATTTATCCTGCAGGGACGGCCAGGATAAGTTAGGGTTTAGGGTTTAGGGCTTGCAACTGACACGGTGATGATTCTGGTGAGGAAAAGGATGACTTCATGGCAATGATGTGATGACGGGATGGTTGGGCGCTGGACAGTTGGAATCATGACAGCGACCACGTAAACATTTAAAACATCTGGCAAAGAGCAAGCGCAACTCGATCAAGCTGCTCTGCTAGCTAGTGTCGTGACTCGCAAACACCCGGGCTTCCGAAGGTCCTGAAACATCCACTCCTGCTGTGTCCTCGGCGATCAGGGAGGTACAAAGGCCACTCTTTGCAAGCCGACTATGCTATGCAGGGATAGGGCTTCTCTTCTTCGGACTCCTAATTGCTCTTCCCCATGCGACAGACTGAGCACACTGAGCCCATAGGTTCTTCTAGGGCTTCGTCTTGCGGTTGAACACCACATCACCACCGTGGGAAAGGGCTTGCAAGGCATACTCTTGCATATTCTTGTGAAGCCTACTACTACTACTACTACTACTACTACTACTACTACTACTACTTCTTATTCTTCCAATTAATCCTCCTAGTCCTAGTGCTGGTTCTGCTACTGCTACTGCTACTGCAACAAGTAGTACGCGTTCTAGCACGAAGAGAGCCCTTAACCTCAGGGCCAAAAACTGCCGGAGAATGGGCCCCGGGCTCTTCCAAGCCACCAAAGCGCGGAACGTCTACGCCCCCGAGGACGTAGAATCTGGGCAGTTCGGCTGCAGGGCTTCAGGCTGCTCACTGAACATAGAGTTGCGGGATGTTTCGCGTCCAGTGTCTGCGTCTTAAGTCAGCAGCCAAAATACGGGATGCTGACAGAAGGAATCGGGATTACTACGGTTTCGGGGTACTTCGCTAGGCTAACGGCTTCGGAACCGACAGCCTTCCAGGCTTCCAGAAAAGCTTGGGTACCGACTTTCCACCCGCTGATGCGGCAGCACATGCGCGCCGTGGCCTTCCGAGATCCGAGATTGTTGCTTGGGTTTACAATTCATGCTCTTACCATCTCTTACCTGTCTTACCTTTACCGTTGTCAGGGTGTGCCCAGCAGGAAGCCGGCTTAAAACCCAAAACCTGCAGCGGGCTGACTTAGCTTGAGGGCATAGGGCCTCAGGCCAGTAGCAGATGTGAACCTTGGTTCCTTCCGGCTTCACAGGGTTTCGGGCCACAGGATCTCCAAATCTGAGCACTAGGCATGCACATGGACGGCAGCATCTCCCATTGGTTGGTCCTGTGAGGATTCAGTTGGGCTGTCGCTGCGGCCCTACGGTAGACTACGGGCATCACGGAAAACCAAGAGCATGTCTCCATCAATGCTTGCTTGCACAGTGACGAGACATGACGAGACAAACAGACAGACGGACGGGCGGATGCACAGACAGACGGACGGATGCAGGGACGGACAGACGATCATGCATGTTTCATACACTTACACAGATGAACACACACACACACATAATTGGTCTTTCCCTCCGTCCATAAAATTCACCACGCCTGCGTCCAGCAGTGCTAGCAGGCAAGCCTTGACACATGGTTATGCAAACAGGCGTTCTGCAGGCACGCGCACGCACGCATTCACGTGCCCATGCACACACACATGCAGTCAACCTATGTGCATCCATACAGGCACGCATACATAGATATGATATGCGAATGCCTACGTACGTCAATATTACAAGGCGAAGAAGGACATGCAGACATGCAGGCAGAAACACAAACATATACTGTCGAAAACGTGAATCGCTACAGGCATGTGGACACTCAGATATTCGGGACACAGACGTAAATCAACGTGCAACGGCAGATCATACAGTACAGACAAACAAAGAGTTCAAAACAAACGGTCGGATCGTATTCCATGCGCCCATCCATCCATCCATCCATCCATCCATCCATCCATCCATCCATCCATCCATCCATCCATCCATCCAGTCATTCGTCGTGCACCCATCATCGGATAAAAGGCTCCTTCCCGTGCTCCCAGTTATGAAGACATGAGGACAACTGGCGACAACATATCCGAAGCTGATGGGAGCACGAGCTGCAGCTTGGAGAAGCGGATAAAGATGACGAAGGACGACCAGGTACCCACATAGTTTTCCCTCTGGCAGCTCTTTGAGTTCCCCCAAACTCCGTCCTGGGATTAAAGCGTTCGGCGGAGTCCATCGCAATGCCACAGCTGCCCCCGCAAACGTAGATGGAGGGCGCCTGGAATCCCACGCTTTCAGGGTTTCAGCCTCCCGCTGCAGGGCGCAAGAGCCCTGAAGCATTCCGAGCTGGAACATCCTAGAACCTGCATGGCTTGGGTTCGGGGCTGAGGGCTTAGGATGGCTTTCAGCTTAGGGCTTCTCGGACACTTCAGCTTGCCCTCCCATACGTGTTCTGATGTTTCGAAGCTGATCGCAAAGGGCTGGTTGCGCGACGCTTCCTCTAATTAGGATCTCCCTGAACATGCACCAGGAGAATCCAAAATGTAACAAGGCCCGTTTGGCCCGCGCAGGCCTCCTTGGAGATCAGGGGCAACACCGGCCGCAACCTTTCGGGAAGCAAAAAAAACCGACAACATGTGTTTGTATTTGGTGGGGCCTCACATTGGCTTCATGATCTCAAGCCATGAAGTCTGACAGGCTTCTTCGACATCTCTGGTGCATTGCAACATGTTGCAACCATTCGTGCTGCGTTCAAGTTGTGTCTTACGAAGCTGGTATTCTTCCTACCTGCTTTTACTGCTAGTTGTCTGGCATCATACGGGGATTGGTTTTGAGGGTGCAGGACCTTGCTTTTGACTCTTTGGATCCGGCAATGGAGCCGTTCAAGCGGGGGCTCCCAGGAAAGCTTCGCCGCAAGTCCCCGCAGATACTCCGCGCTCCACACTCCAGGATTGAGGAGCTC